ATTTTAGGTATATTTTTTATATATTCTACATGTTACTTTACAGCAAAACGTTAAATAAATTTTGAATCTCGTATGAATCAGTCTTTGTCACTTTCGTTGGAGTTTGCATCTGGATTTCCGAAACAGGATATACGACAGGAAGGAAAAATCACGGTTCACTGAATTCTTAGTAGACTTTGTATGCATTGTGCATCTCTTTCGATGCATTCGACTGCAGCTCACGGAGAGAATGCCAAACCGGTACCAATGCGACAAACATAGCAATTCGTGTTTCTAAACTCTTGATTTTTGTTCAATAAAAATAAATTTTGATCTTTTAATAATAATAAATCTGAAACTAGGTTATGAGGCTAATGAATTCAAGACATAACGAAATACTTTTATATAATCTTAGGAAATCAATTTTACTTAAATAAAGATAAGGAAGGCCAACGTTTTCTTAAAATGACTGCGTACTCAGAGTGACTTGACTACGAGTGATTTGAAATTCTGTTGGTTATAATTATTTTAGTCATTCACGGTTAGACAAAATCATGTACTATGATTTTTCGATACTACATATGTTTTTTGTCTAAATTTAATTAATAATAGTACGTATTATTAATTAAATTTAGATCAATATCAAGAATAAAGCTTAATGTGATTTAATATATATACAGGATAGAAATACACAATTATTTTGTATTTATTGTGTACTGGTTCAACTGTATAGATATAATTTTGATATCGTTGTCATCACCATGGTAGTATGGTATACTAGCTGCTATAATAAATAATTGCAGGGCACTCTTCTTATAAGAGAAAGGGAAACAATTAAGCAAGTTAGAATTTGACTTTTCCTTACATAGCGAGGAAAACTGAATTATAAGTATTGTATTGACAGTGATATTGTATTTATACTACTCACCCTGACTTTACGCAAAAAGTCATAACTATTTTGTATACATATATTAACACAATATACAGCTTATGGAGACCCTGTGATAATTTAAGTACAATATAAGGATTTTACATATTTAACTCCAAGTCTTTCTTTGTAATATTACTTAAATTATCTAATATGGGAGTGTTACTTTACGCAAGTAGTCAATTGTCTGTAATCCAGCATGATAATATTATTTATTATCATGCATTAAAAACTTATAACGTCAGAGAACCGATCGACATTTCAAGCAATGTCTATTTCCCGAGTTTCAAAATGTAGAAGTCAAGTCGGCATCCTAAAAGCTCGCTGCGCTAAATACGGTAAGGAATAGTTTATCTCGAAGATTCCGTTTTACTTATCCGAGTTATTCGGTTCCTGTAGCAAGCTGAGAATCAAATGACATCTAGCTTTGATTTTGAAATTAGTTGGTTATAATTTACATTGTAAAGAAATATTATTATTATTAGAAATGAGGTAAATGTAGATATTAGTAAATTTAAGATATTAATATCGTCATCCTTTTCAAGTAGATATGTATTATAATAGACCCACTTGAACGAGGATATTTTAATTTAATTTAAAGATTACCAATTTAGTACGTATACGAAATAAGTTACCTAAGGTAGTTACGTAACAAATAAGCAGAATCAATAACTTCACTTAATCTTGAATTATATCTTGAATTATAAAATAATTTTTGTGTGTATATTATTTAGGCATCTAACTTTTTATACAATTTGGATGCTGCTGCTGTTGAAGCTGTACCAAAAGCCGTTATTATTGCACACACTTAATATTAGAATGGAACTATAACTTTTAGCGGTACATTAAAAATCAGGCCAGCAAATTGTATTATTCATTACATAGGATTCTAATTTATATTTGTAAGTATTCAATGGATGTATCAAGATTGAATACTTACAAATATAAATGTAGATATATTTTCATAGTTTAATTGAGCTAAGATTCCGGTGAGATTAAGTTTTCGATATTTATTACTTGATTTAGCTAATTATTTTTATAATAATACCTACTATTGTCTACCTTATAATAAATATTGGCTATCTTTACTATTTTGAAACAAAAAGCAATATTTAACGATTCTGACAGGCATTAATTTTACTTGTGCGCTTTTCATTCAAAGACTTATATACCTCGCTTTCAGAAATCATTCAGACTTTTACTTGGCGAATCGGAAATGTTAAAAGCTTCAACTCAATATTGCAATAAAAAGTTACCGATGAAATATTAGTTTATGAAATGCCTGGTTCAGCGTTGGATCGCGAATCGTTCGTTTTGTTCTCTCGGTAGCATTTAGATTCCTATTTCTCATTGTAATTAAATAGACGAAGTTTATTGAAGCAACGTGCCCGCCACTTTGCATACTACGGGAAGTGCTTTTCCTATTTTTTCCGCGTTATAAAATTTATCGGCACTTTATTTACTAATTAAAGACTCCGCTAGATCATGAAAGTTTATTGCTATGTAGTCTATGAATAGGATACAGATAAGTAGCTATATTTGGTTATGTATTTCCCCGTTTACTTCTACTCAACCAAAGAACTATTTTATATATACAACGTCCATTATCATAAAAAAATATCTTCCGGAAGGTTACATATATGAAATATGCATATAGTTATACGACTTCCGTCTCGTACACTGTAAACCAGTGCGAAGGTATTCACCTTAACCTAAGCTACCTATCATCGCGCCCTGTCTATAATAAGCTTCAATGTTTTTTATCGTTTCTTAACAATTTTAGTAAGTAAAAAATAATAGTAGTATTACTATTTAAATCAATTCAAATATAAATCAACCATAACCTAACCCATTTACTTTCTGGAAGATAAACATTCATCATCAAATACGGCTACACGAAATATTTCTTTATTGTATAATATTGTACATATTTTAATTTAAAAACAGTATAAAAAGTAATTATACTCATTACATATCCTTCAATTTTAATTACGCTTGTTGATTAACAAACAACAATTTAGTATAAGTACCAACATACTCGTAATTAAATTAGCTTTTGGCTTAGTTTCCTATTACGGATATTTTCAAAATTTCAAGAAAGAATGGGCGCTAAATTCATAAAATTACCTAATTGTTACGTTATTATTTTAAAATCAATTAGTTTAATTTTACATTAATTTATTTGTTTGCAGTTCTGTATTAATAATCTGACATCCTATTTGATACCTTTTCAGCTTTCAGCAATTTGACTTAAAGATAGGTTATATCACAAGGATGGACATGAACTATTTTATCTCAAATATGTAATATTATGTTATCTGTATCTGAAATAAGCAGGCGATATTGAGGGTAACGGGTAGTAAGATATCGATAATTATTTGATTACAATTAGTCTTACTGATCTGGTGTTTGTAAAAAAATAATGAACTATACATATGCATATAGAAAGGTAATGCTAAAATGGATCAAAGTTTCCGTATTAAAGTAATAACTAGCTCATGGATGTCAGCCACGTACTGAGTTATAGAACTTGGAACTGCGTACACTTCTATCTGAAGTGACGTACTTTATTACCTTTGAATTGGAAACGTGTACGGTATCAATCGATTTAAATATCTTTTTAGAAATAATATAAAATTTTCTAATATCTGAATCCTAGATTAGAAAAATTCCTTTTAATTTCCGTTTGTATTAGTCGTAGCATGTAGTTCTATAGCATTCCTCGATAAATTGACTATCCAATAGTAATTGGTTGAAAGTACTGCTTTCAACCAATCACCAACAAACTATTTAATTTCATAATATTAATATAAATTGTAATTAGTCATATATTTATAGAACTGTACTCGGTGCGTTGTTGTTGCTACTTTGTAGTATTAGCATGTTGAAATAAAATTATTGTATATTACTTAAAACAACGCGGACAATAGACCCATATATTGGTGATGTAATATAACAATTCAATTCACTGTCATTCCATATTTCAACAGAAGATGAAAGAGCGTTTAATAAAATTACTATTGCATAAATATTTTATTGGCATGGCAGAATACAATACAATGATTGGAATAGAATTGCGTCAACGCAAACGGTTAAGCACGCATTGGCTTAACAACAGAAGTACGTTTGGAAAACTTAGAGATTAGTTCCAATAAGTTTGTATAGCTAAAAATTGGTATATGTTGGTACACTATAGTACATAGACTGATTTCTATTAGATAGTCTAAAATCATCCAAAAAGATATTGAGGACGCTATTCTTTTCTACAATTTATTTATAGTATTAGTTTAAGTCCTTGATTTTGCAATTAATATATTTAAATACTTAAGATCTGTTATACACGAAGGAAATTTTCTCCATATGGAACTAAATTACTCTCTATCGAAAAAGGAAAAAAAGTCAAGACGACAATTTAATTTTCTGAAAGAAAATAACTTAGATTAAAAGTTTATCTAAAGAATTAGTAACTTAAATGAATTTAAAAATGACCTTTTAATGTTGACCTGAAATATACTAAACGCATATGAATTACTTGTTTTAATTATTTTACCTGTATGCTAATAATATCTTATTTTCTCGAAATGCGAACACAAGAATTTTGGTAACTATTAAAATAGTAATGTAGGAAATAAAAAATACAAATTTCATTAATGGAATGTTAGGTAATCTTTCATAGATATTTTTTTAAATATTCAATATTTCTCATTACAAACTGCGTTTCTTTACGCATGCTTTGAATATTGTAACAATATTATTTGACCTAATCTGAGTACGGTAAAAGGAAAGACAGGCGTGGCAGGGCCAGACCGGTTTGGTTGCAAGTATCCTTGCCACAGAAGTAAGGTGATCTAGTTGTAGGCGGCTGGTGCAAGTAACAGAATGCGGACGTGGTCCACACCCTGTTATGTACTGCCAAAACTAGGAAGTACGCGCATTTTTTATGTTAATTGGTACTTGTTTTAATGACATTTACGCTTATTACTACGGACCTGAATAAAGTTTTAATTCCTTAGGAAGCTACTAATTACTCATGTTTTAGTAGGTATATTCATGTTCAATGTGTACAATATTATGGGTAAATAAATTATACAAGTTTGATTAAGATACGTTTATTAAAATCTAATTTTATTTACAAGTGCAGTTTCATCAACTGACACGCCTTCCATCAACAATTCTTCCTCTGTACAAGTTACAAAAACTAACAACATGTTTACCTGTCCATTAGCTCACAATATCACAGCAAACAACAATTAAGAAATGCTTTTGAAGCGGCCGTGTACGCACATCACGACCACCCCCGATGACTCGGCGAATTGCTAATTGATGCGAGTTTTTTACGTATTTCGGTCTTTACAAATCGCCGAGCTCTCTATATAAATTGGATTTATACTTTGTGGAACGAGTAAGTATAGCCGTCGGGCGCTCTGTTTAGACTAAATTTGCCTGGAGGAAAAAATCGGTTTGGAGGAGGCGTCGTTGGTTCGAAGTATTCCTGGCGGGCGATGGGCTGCTGTGCAGAGTATTGTTGCGAAGGGAGACCACTGTACTGAGCTTGTTGTACTCCTGTGTAGATATTGTTATTTTGGTATTGATTTTGAGGCACGGGTTGGTATTGTTGTGGTTGTGGTTGTGGTTGGTATTGTGGCTCTGGTTGGTACTGTGCTTGAGGTTGCGGTTGCGGTTGGTATTGTTGTTGTGGTGACACATAATTTTCCTTTTCATATAGCTCTGGATAATATTGTCCATCATCCTCATTTGGTTTGCCTCCATAGTTGCGAGGGGTAACAGCCGCAGTGTACTGCTGAGGAGCACTGTATTGAGATGCTTTGTAGTTCGGAGAATTGTACCGCGGGTCGGGCTGATATCCAGGAGTTGGTGCTACGGGCTGAGGCGCAGTGGGAATATGATCACCGATAGCTTGGAATCCGTTTTTTCCCGCTATGTAGTTCACAGTTTTTCTCTGTCCAGTTGGATCGATGTACGAGTAACTGCCTCTTCTGTTTCCATCGGCATCTGTTTCTTCTTTGAAGTCAATTCCATCTTCTTGTTGGTATGCCGCGCCAAATGCACCATTTCCGTTGAGATAGCGTGCTTCTTGTACGATAGCTGCTGTTTTAGGATCACCCGCGTATTTTGGGACGCGTCTCGCCCCCTCCTGCTGTTGGCATGTCACGGTCGCGATCACAAAGGCTAACGCAACGAGCCTATACATTTTAATCATTCAAAATGTGCACTGCTCGCGTGAAAGTAATAAAGTGTGTCGTTGCGGGCGGGTGAACTCATTTTATACGGATAGTTGAGGCCTTGGTGTATATTGGAAGGGCCTGCGGGTCCGACCGCGAAATATACATAGTTCTTATTGCTTGGGATGCATAAGGACAAGTCAGGGAAGTGACATTAAGTGAAGATTGCAGAGCATCGTCCTTAGTATATGTCCATTGATGTTAAATGTCAGTTCATTTAGAAATTTATACTGTATGGATAATAAAGACATATTTATTAATAGTATTAACATAAATGTTTTAAGACCTTTTATTAGATCTACAATAAATATCTTAGGTTAAAATATCACGGTAACTAGCTAGTTCACTATTATATTCACTATTAAGTAAATTAACCCGTATAAGTATTTCCTAACGAAACTGAGCCACATAAAGTACTAATACTAATTGTGTTTCTTATATTAAATGGTTACGTTAAAAACAAAAATAAATATTAAACTATAATAATAATAATAACATTGAAATAGTGACAATGAGTATTAACCTTTTTTTTTACTAAACAAAAGACAATAATAGTTAATTTGCTAACCGACTGTGATTCAAGATGGACAAATAAAAAGTATTTTCAACTATTATCATTGACATTTAAATATTATACAATATATTATTATAATAATTTTGTTAATAAACTGGCCAGACAGCTTCAACTAAGTGTTCATAACTTAGTAAATTTTAAATAAATTCACACAATATATAGTCTATGTCACTCTGGAAAAATATTCAAATTTCATTATTTCAAACAGTGAAAAAATTTCTCAAATAGATCTCATAACAAAACCTGCTGTCTCTGTTTATTAATATTGAATTTAAAATAGTATTGAATGTAGAAAAATAAAATTATTAATTTATATAGCCATATTGTAAAAGCGCTAACATGATACAATAAATTGATACAGCTTTTCGTACTGTCAAGGCGGAATAATAACATGGTGGCGTACTATTACATGTACAAAATTTCTATAAACAGGATTGCATGTGTGAAGATTCTGCAGTAATTTCATATAGTCTTGTGTGCAAATACCTTTGTTGTCTACCAGTTTACCTATAATCTTGTTAATCAACAGATTGCATCATGCTTGTTCCCACGACGATTGCTTCGTTGTTTAACAAGTATTGTCTCCATATTTCTTTGTACAATTTTGTTATATTTCTTAATTTATTTTTTAACTAATAGTTAACTCCAACTACTCTCGGGTTCCTTAAACTGTATCAATTAACGTAATGTAATATATAGCCTCCGTCACTCTAGAATAAAAAACCGTTGAAACATTAAGTAAGAATTTTCTAAATCCGTAAACATAAAAAAGTTCTATTTAGAATATTAGTGTAGATATAACACTGTTGGTATCCCTAAATAGTAAATAATAATTTATAAAACTGGTTATTTTTCTGTAATCCCTTTGTCCCATGTAATTTAAGTAGTTTATTATAAATGTTGTTTTATTAGATATCTCTATCTCAACCAGGTATTAATCATTATTTTTTTAACAAGAAGGCAAACTAGTTGATGAGTCACGTGATGACCTTCATTCTGATGCTCCGTATTTCACTACATGGTGTTATCGGCCTAGTGGAGGGGAATGTAATACATGACAGTAGTATCACTGAGTATAAAAGTATGACAGCGTAGTTTTATAACGTATTAATACGATTTTTTATATTAATTATAAATTAATATTTCCGCGGAGAATATGTAAATATGATGATAAATGTCACGTGCCTGACTGAAGAACAGAGATTGATACGTAGAAATACGATAAGTGTTATATTGATGAAAGGAAAGATAGAAAAAGATACATGGACATTTTGATTACCAAAACATCAATGGGTAATTTGTTATATTCAATTACATTTAAATCTTATATGCTTGCAGTATCTTACCTTACCTTAACAAGAATCTAGTATTATTTCACTCCGGAATGTCAACAAACATATATGTAATAGTTATTGTAGGAAGAGAATCATTAATAATAGGGACTAGTGGCTCCGCTACTAGCAATTTACAATGTACCATGTCCAGGAATCTATAGTCGTAAATTCATGGTGAATTAGTCATAATAGGCTAACTGATCTAACTTCATTTTCATTCTATCACCCTCACTGATGATAGAATGAAATTTGTCCACCCTTAGCATGTACGTTAACGCAGGCGGGTACACATTTACATTATTATCCATTAAAAATATATAACTATACAAACTACTATGTTTCAATATCTATAATAAAATCTACTCTTTAATATGGATTCATTACAAAATATATACGTGTGTATAGTAAACAATCTAAACTATATTTCATATTTGCTAATTTCGCTATTTGTTGCAATTGAGAAAGAATCAAGGTTGGCGGAAACGTAATAACAGTAAATTTTATTAAATAAACATTATTTCTATTTAATTATGTGGCGTTGGTAATCTTAATATTAACATTAGATCATACTTTGATTACATGTTTAAATAAACGGCTCTGATTTTATCCATTGGTGTATTATTTATGGTATTTTATCTATTATACTGACAGAATGATCTACTGTATGTAATATATTAAATACTAGATCCTAATTGCGATTTTGTCAACTTAAATAAGGTAAAAAGTGACCTATATGGGTCGTCATGATACAATCTTTTTTAAATTTAACGTTAAATTTTTGTAATTTTTATACAGCCATTAAGCCATAAAAAGATAACAATTAGACAGACTTGATGACACACTTTTGCATACATATTTTTCATTACATACTTACATTACATAGTATAAATAATTGAATGTAATAATTAAAATACATTGAACATTCCTTTCAATTTCTAAGAAATTGTCTCGAAGATCGTTTAAGGTGTGGATGAATATCTTATGATATTGTAACTAACTTAAAGTATCTTAGTAACTTTATAGAATTCTCAGACGATGCCGAGCACGTGTATAGCGACCTTGCTTATAAGACTTATTACTTATGTAATTGGTTTAAAGTAAGTTTACTGAATATTCATATTATAAGTAGTACATACTTTATATACTTGTGATTCATATAATAAAAAAAATAACAGATCGCTGTCTGTAAGTACATGAAACGTGTGTTAATAGCGAGACGTTATCAACGTAATAGTTTCTGAAAGTGATTATTATAATGTTTGTCCACTTGTCTGTGCGCATTTAGACGCTAATCTGTAACGATTTGGATTTAGATTTACTACTATATATTCTAATAAGCTTTATTAAAAAATTTCAAAAATTCGTTCGTTTTACTTCATTCGGTTTACAAAGAAAAAAGGTATAGGAATACGAGGTCACGAGCGCAGCTTCATATAATAATAATGTATAAATCACACAGAGCCATCCAGTACCAAGCTAAGTAGAGCTTGTGTTATGTGTACTAGGCTACTTGTATAAATATTTAAGTTCGTTATTTTTTGTAAATATACACATAACATACATACTGAACGCTGACCAATAGATACTAATGATTATTTTGATTATCTAATTCGTGACCATCGGAAGTAGGATAGTCCTAAACTGCTGGAGGACTGAGATTTGATGTTATTCAATATAAGCACAGATTTATTCATGAGGTTCTTTACGAGTATAGACTAGTCGATAATAGTTTTGTAATAATTACATAATAAGTAAGTCCATAAACAAATACCTGTACAACTACTTTAAGGCTAAAAGCATGTTGTACTTAGTGTTCAGAAAGCGTGCATAAAATTGCCGTCTAAATATTTTAATTTGAATTCGAATAAGAACAATAATATTAAAATACGTTTATTCGACATTACTTTGAATGATTAAAAAATATTTTGGGAAACTAAATGTACTTTATATGACGAAAGTAACCCCTATTTAGCAGAATATAAACCATTTAGTTAGCATCAGAGGTTAACCTCTAGATTTTTTTTTGTGAAAACTGTTTAAAAATCCATTGTGCGGTATAGAACAAATAACAGAGACTTTTTAAAGAAAATTATTTGGTACACAAGAAAATTTATTAAGTAGAATTATTTTTTGTATATATAGTTATTGTAATAAAATTAATTCAGATCGATCTAAGGCAATCTCTTTCTTGGAGGTCGCCTTAGATCGATCTGTTAGGAATAAGTTTTTAAAATAAAACAATACTTCTGCTACTCAATGTTGAATATCTTCAGACTAGCTGCATCAAATATGCTAACGACCACTTTGAAAAATACAGCGTTCAAAGTTAAATCTTCGATTTACCTGCTCTAGTAGGTACTAGTCTTAGAACAGCATCCAGAGCGAGAACGTTCCGCATTTTATGACACATCATTTTCTGCTCAGAGTTATAACAAGATTCCATAAAACTGTAGCGCATTTAAGCTTATAATAGTAACATTTTGTAAAGTAAGTAACATTTCATACATTGTGTCTCGACTTCAAATAACTGTTGGAGAAAAATCTATTCAATTTAGGCATGTAAATTAAGCCATCTACACATATAACTAATAGACTGTTGACTCAATACGACAACTAATTATTACCCACGATTGTATCTACTTCTTTTAAAATGTAATAGTGTTCGTTCTCATGATACAATCTATTTTCATATCGATGTCATTAAAATCTGTTCAGCCATTTCATGGAAACGTAACAAATATATATATATATATATATATATATACCTTTGCATTTTCAATATTAGTATAAATAGAAAGTAGCATTGCCTATTAGGAGGGAAGAGGATTATATATGGTAATATTAGTAATGGACTGTAGTCTCCCAATTGCTAGCAATATACCATGTTAAGTCGATTTCCGCATGATTCCCCTGGAAACCGTCGTGGTTAATTCCTGGTTATATAATCCGATGGACAAATTGATGTAACCTCATATTCATCTTATCATCCTCCACTAGTGACCCACCAGCGTAAACCATTAGCGCAGGCGGGAGTACCACTACATTATCATCCATTAAAAACATACTGTTTATTTGTTAGCACTACTATTAACGACCAAGTTGTTAGGATGACTT